GATGCGATTGATGTGTGCGGGTTTGCCGGAGAGTCTGCGCGAGCGAGCGAACGGGGGTTTGCGATGGAGAATGTCAGGAATGGAAGAGAGTGATGGTGCTCGCAGGCCGTCTGTCTGTCGGTCGCGGGTCTGACGAGAGAAAGAGAAGGGAGGGGCGGTAGTGCGGGCACAGGGAGCTGGGCGCGAGCAGCGGCGGGGTAAAACCGAACGGAGCTGGACGGTGGTCGGCGAGTGGGCGGGAAGGAGTCTCCTGGGCCTGGAACGGACGGAGGGGCGACCTTTTGACGGGGACTAATAGGGGCGGGGGGGCGTTTTCTTCGACGCACAGCAACACATGTTAGCATTTCCATTGCCGATCTCGACTGACGCAACGTTTGTTGTCCCGAAGTGGAGTTACAACAAGTGTGTGAAAGTGCTGTAGCTATTGGCAGACAGGCACCGGAGACGCATCCGACAACAGCCGGCGCTCGCACTGAGCGATAGGCTGGACGCAAATATAGCACAGGAGCTATTTCCTCCTTTCCTCATTTCCTCAACGGACGTCAATGGAAGCTTACCTAGATCTTCCAGGATGGCAGTGAGGAGCGGTCGCAGAGTGCGCTCACTTGTGGTGTGGCGGCGCGTTGAAGGAGGAGGCCCGCGTCGTGAAAGTGGTGGCGTTGCGAATCGTGTGCTGAGCGACAGGGTGGTGGTCGTTGTCTCGTCGTCGGGCGTCAACAGGACCGAAATGTCGATGACAGGCAGAACGTAAAGATGGGATTTCGTGCAGAGATTGGGAGTGAAGAGGGGGACAGCGTGTGCAGAGCAGAGGAGCACATAGGCTTTAAGAGCAGCGGCTTTTCCAGAACCTGGATTTCACCTGCTTCTGCTTTGGGATCTGAGCGAGATCAAGGAGGGGTGCCCTGTCCAGTCTCCAGCGGGACCCCGCTACGCGGTGTGTGCACCTTGCCAGATTTGTGTCTAATGCTGTGCTTCCTGGCCCTCTGGCGTCCGTCTGGAGGGGAGATGGGTATCACAACAACCTGGTAGTAGGAGTGGGAGCAAGGCGCCGGAGTTGGGGGGTTGTTGTCTCGACTGACGGCTGCAGGGGTACATCGCTGGGATCGAGACGGAGTGGAGCTCTCTGTTTGGCTCGCCCATCGGTCTCCCTCCCTCCCTGTATCCCCCCCCCCCCTCTCTCTCTCTCTCTCTCTGCCCACGCCTCTCTCCTGTCCGTCCGTCTATGGATTTGTGGATCTCAACCTCTTCAACTAAAACGTACAGTGGATGGCTCGGCCATACCACCGTTTTGTATCAAGCAAGTACCAACCTAACCACGTCGTAGCCATGGTTCCCGAGCCGAAGGCTACGTACGTTCTCTTTCCAGAACTGGTTGACGCCTGCTCCCATCGCCGATACCTGTCCAGGGAGAGTGTCAGCGTGGTCAGTGTGAGCCAGTCAACAACAGGACTGCCCACATCCATCTCTCACCGCGTGTGCTAGATCGATCGACAAGGCAGACGACAGCTCGGGCAGCAACACACCCACGCGGGCACAACCTCGAGAAGACACGGGACGAGACGGTCGATGACAAGACCGGCTGACGACGCGGGCAGAAATCCAGAATTCCATGTTTTCATTCCACTTTGCCGTCTTGTGTCGTTAGTGTCCTGCTCCCATGTGAGCACGCCAAAAGCCCACACACCCTCCTACTA